TTATTTCGAAGTTAAACTAAATCCATCATATATTTTTGTATAGAGTCGGTCATCCTTCTTTGCAAAGCTCATTGAGAGTATTGCTATTTTTGAAATGGCTTGAGCAAAAATAAGGAAGATGATGCAAGTAATCTTCATCATACAACCATTGGTTTAATGACAATAGCATTGACAAAAAGTGTCTTAGTGATTGTCATTTGCAACCTTCCCAGCTGGCGTCTGACAAGCAAAGTCAATGGGAGAAGTCAGATTTGCTTAACAACTGCCTTGCTGAGCCGCAGAAATGTTGGCTGCTGTTGGGGTTGTAAATCAAGAACTACCTGTATATTGTTTTTTTAGATACAAAATTAGATACATATCTTGGCACCTCTCTTTAAATCCACGTTCCATTCAAAGGTAATACAGAAGCTCCCTTATGGCCAGTGAAAACTCAAGACTTTTTTTTATAGCATTTCCTTTGCAGTTGCCAAAATGAATTCTGTAGCGTAATTTTTCTCTAAACTCATGCTACTTCAGGCCAGGTTACATTCCCCAGTATAAAGCTGTTTCTTCTTTCTATTGAAACGCTGTTCCTCCTATAACATTTTAATTTGTTCATATTTATTTATTTATTGGGCTTATAGGCTTCTCCAATTAGCTGATCCAGAGCAATATGCAATTTCCCAATGCATAATTTGGATTAAAAACAACAGATACAAATGAAATTAAAAGCAGCACTGTATAATGTAATCAATTATAAAACAGACTCCTGATCAGACCTTAAAAACCAACTCATATTCCAGAGGGATAGTCATTACAGCCCCCCATGGTTGTTATGACAACTTCTACCAATTTTTCACCAGTTTTCTGAAGACCAGGAGGAAAGAGACCAATCACCTGTCGAAGAAATGTTATTCCTGACAGTTGGAAACAATGTGCTTCCTTGGCACCTGAAAATGGTAATCTTGAATTTAGGGGGCACTTAGAGGATCTGCCCTAGTAGTCTTTTTGAGAGGGAGGTAGATATCACTGGGAACAGGCAGTCCTATAGATACCCAAGCTCTGAAGCAGGGTGGACTTTCAAGGTGACAACCAGCACCTTGAAATGTACTCAGAAGCCAATTGGCAACCGGGCCATCTCTCCAAGTATAGGTGTTACATGGGGGTCCGGAAGTGTACCCATAACTGCTTGAATTGTTGCATTCTGGGCCAATTGTTAGGGCAGCTGTAAGGGCAGCCCCACGTAGAGCATATTACAGAAGTCCAATTAAAGGATGGCAAAAGTGAATGACAGGAAACGTTTCCAGGAGAAGTTGCTATTTATTAGTTAAATTTATTGGCCACCCATCTTTCAATAAGGTAACTCTGAGCGTCTTACAGTTACATCTAAGCTAAAAGATAAAAAGTTAAAATCAAACATTAAAACCAAAGACACATGGGGAGGGCAGAGGTGGAGTGGGGGAGAGGTGGGATCTGTTATTACTTAGTCAGCCACCTCCATTGTGCTGTTTCCCCACTGGGACCCCAAGCTGACTGGCAAAGCCACATCTTTAGGTCCTTATGAAAAGATAGGAGGGTTGGGGTCAACCTCACACCCAGGGGGCAAGATGTTCCAGAGGGCAGGAGCAACAGCAGAGAAGGCCCTTCTGCTGGACCCCACCGGCCAGAATAAATGGACCCACATCTTGCCTCCTCTGCCGGCATGAGTGGTATGGACCAGTCCTGTACAATTGCCACAATAAAATGGAGCCTCTTGGTCACAATGGCACCTGAACCTTAAGCAGCAGCTATGAGTCCAGGAGGAACCCCAAAGTGCAAATCACCTGCCTCAGGGAGTACAATCCCATTCAGAGTTAACAGCAGAATCTCCTTGGAGTTGGTGGTCTTTCCAAGGCAAAGTCACTTTTATCAGGCTGGTATGGAGTCTCGACTAGTTCTTCCCCAGCCAGATTGGGAGAACCTCCAGGCACCCGAACAGCACTTTAATATCGCTTATTTGATGATTTTGAAACCAGTCCATGTTGTTCCAGTTCCTTCCCCAACTGCCTCAAGATGATCTTATGTGTATCTGGAGGTACTTTTTGATGAGATCTGTATTGGCATCCACTTGAAATTATTGAAGTCAACAGTCGTGCTACAGTATCTTTAGTTAACCAAATACCTTTTTAATTCAGAAAAAAAAATGTCCCAAGCATTTCAGATGCATTTAATTTGGCCTGCTTTTCCATTGAAAAAGATTATGGTGATCCAAGTCTTAATTTCAGGCTATATCATGGACTTAATTAAAAGCTTACACCTAAAAATCTGAATTGTCTGCAAATTCTCAGCTGCAGTATTTTTTTTTTCAAACTATACTTGCTATTAAATATTTTTAAAAGGTTCTACTGTGATTCCCCAAAAGTAAGACCTATCCCAAACATAAGCCCTAGTTTTGGGGCGAGGCACACGCCTAAAAATCAAGCTAGGGTGGGAGTGGAGCTTACCATTGCAGCCAGGCCTCCCATGGATTAACACCTGCTTTGCTGGCCCACTTCTTCTGTGGCTGAAGGAGCAGCTTCATTCTGTAGCTGAAAATGGAGCTCCGGCCTGCATTTTGCATTCAGAAGCCATTCCAGAAGGCCTCTGCAGCCAAGAACCGAGCTATGGATTGAATCTGTAGCTCGGTTTTCGGCCTTCCAGAAAAGCCTGTGACTGCAAAATGCAGGCCCAAGCTCCATTCTCAGCTGCAGAATGAAGCTGCTCTTTCAGTCATAGAAAAGAAGTAGGCCAGCTGGGCAAGGTGAGTGGGAAACACTCCCCCCCCTTCTCAGAAATAAGACCTGGTGCCTCTTTTGGAGACAAATAAAAAAAATAAGACCAGGTGTTATTTTTCGGGCAAACACGGTATCAGAAAGTGTTATTTTATAAGCCTTATTTTCAACAATTGAAGTCTGCTTCCTGTAGACTGATCTAACTCAAATACAGGCAAATGAATCAGCATCAAATGGGAAAAGTTAAGTTTAAAGGAAATGCTTATGAGAACTGGTCATGTTTGTTATTGGTTCCCTGTGTACAGCAGAGATAGCTAATAGGAATTCTGTCAGACCTGCCACAACTTAAACCTCTAGACAGAAATGATCCTTGGCTCCATTTGTTGAGAAATTTATAGTTTTATTAGAGGTTGTGTATTGCAGTATTTCATAGCCAGAACTGAGAATCGGGCACCAAAATTCCTAAGTTCTATTTTTCCGTCCCATAACTATCTCTCATTGCCCACCCCAGTGTAACCAACCAATCAGGTTCATGGAAGATGTTTTCATAATGGTCAGTCCAGTGCAGTTTGCAGCCTACTCCTTTCTTCTAGCTGGGTGACCTTGAGGCAGCATATGGAAGAGATACAGCACTATCGTTTCCCCAAGCATTCCCCCCTTCATTCTCCCTCCCCACAGTTCATGGAAGTCTGTCACCACATAGTAGCGAAACACAAGCCATCATAAAGTGGCAGCTGACAAATTCATTTGAAAAGGACATAAATGTTTGTGTGGGGCTTAAAATATTTTCTCACCACATGTAGAGTAAATGTCTATCTTGTTATACCTCCCCTTCTTACAGCTTTGTTTTCCCTTGAATTTCCCTTAAAGGACCCACGTAGACAGTAAAGTTTGATTGTTTAATGACTTTAAAAGTTGGACTTCAGATGATACTTCTCATGGTAACTGGTGTGGATTCAATACGAAGCACAAAGGATGTGGTCCTGCTAGCATTCACAAATAGACAGGGACATGATGGAAGTGATTGGCTTTTGAACAAAAGAATACACTGAAGTTTTGTTCAAATCTTCTTTCTAGGCTGCCCCAAAATTGTTCATCTTTGCCTAGCTTGATATAAAAGCAACAAATTTCAGTAGAATTTCTCATTTAAGTTTTGTGATAGGGAAATACCTGTTTTTCTATGATAGAACTTGATAACCAGCTGACTAGAAGTGCTATAGTGTTACAGAAGTGAAATAATTTACTACAGGTAGTCCTTGACTTACAATCACAATTGAGTTCAAAATTTCTGTTGCTAAGCAAGACATTTGCTAAGTGAGTTAAGTCACCCATTGACTTTGCTTGTCAGAAAGTTGCAAAAGGTGATCACATGATTCAACTATCATAAATATGAACCAGTTGTCAAGGATACGAATGTAAATCACGTGACCGTGGGGGTGCTGCAATGATCATAAGTGTAAAAATAGTCATAAGTCACTTTTTTCCATGCCTTTGTAACTTCAAATGGTCACCAAAAAAACTGTTGTAAGTTGAGGACTACCTGTAAATTCTGATTAGCAACTACTTTTCTCTGATGCAGATAGCTATTATTCTAGAAACATTTCCTCATGTAAACCATTCCCCTGCTCTAAGACATCGCAATGTTTGTTTGCTGTGTTATATACCTTCATATCTTTGTTTGAGTACCTATATATAAAATAGGCACCTTGTATTTAATTGGTAGCCTGGTAGCCATAAATTGCAAATTTCTACCTAAGCAAGATGGGTTAATAGAAGGAAAAAATGGAAATGCTACAAAATGGACATTGGGCTATTGCAAGAAGGACAAAATTGGTTTTAAAAGAGGTAATTAAATAAATAGATTACCTTTCACTCCCATTAAGCTATTTTTTTTTTTAAAAAAATCAGGCTACTGATTCCTTGCATTTTTCAAATAAATCCTTTTATACAATAATCTTGTGGCATTTTAAAGAATAACACATTTATTCATTAATCAGTCAAATTATATACTGTCTAATATAACTTACAAACTTACTCTTGTGTTATTAGACTTCATGAACCACAGTCCAATTTCTCACATGTTGGACTTTGAAAATGGAAATCAAGCTTTTTCAAGATTGTGGAATGAACACGTTATTTCATGTTTGTAATTGTAGAAGTTTAATGTTGACCTTTGTCATGTCCTGTATAATCTTAAATGGAAAGTACAGTTCAATCTGTTCTGATGTTGCACTTCCTTTTCTTTCCTTGTTTCTTTCTACAACGATCTAGGTCTGGACTATTTTGCGTTCCACCAGCTTCCTTACCAAAGACAGAGGATCCTCTTAGCAAAAGTTGCACTAATGGGAAAACTGAAGACAGACCATCCATAGAGCTGGAGGCTGACCAATGGTGTTCAGAAGGAAAACCCACCAAGGCCAATGGAGAGGAGCAAGTCCCGCCCCTCTTGCCTCCTCCACCAACGGGCAGTGTTCCTCCTTATCCTCCCTATTTTGAAGGAGCTCCCTTCCCCCCTCCATTATGGTTACGGCACACATATAATCAGTGGGTACCTCAGCCACCTCCAAGAACTATAAAAAGGACAAAGAGGCGCTTGTCCCGGAACAGAGACCCTGGGAGGCTCATCATGAGCACAATTAGGCTGAGACCGAGGCAAGTGCTTTGTGAGAAATGCAAGAACACTCTGAATCCAGAGGAAGGTATCAAAGCCCATCAAAATGCAAAAACCCAGAGGAAACTAAGCATCCAAGATAAGGAACAGAAAAGACACAGTGAATCTGAATATGTAGAAAAAAAGAGCAAAAGAGAAAGGCGAGAGGAGGAGAAGTTTTCTGGGGAACAGCTGCAAAGGACTCCAGTTATAAAAATATCTTACAGCACCCCTCAGGGAAAAGGTGAAGTTGTGAAAATTCCCTCCCGCATCCATGGTTCCGGGAAGCCATTTTGCCCTCAGCGACTTCTCCAGAATGGCGGGGAGGACCAAGAAGAGGCCCAAGACTCAGAACAAGATCAGGAAAGCAAATGTTTTATGGACAAGCAGTCCAGTGGGCACCATGCTTCCATTCCAAAGCTAAAGTTAACTAGGCCTGTGCATTCCAGTGCAGATGTGCCCCCTCCCAAAATCCGTCTGAAGCCCCACCGGCTCAGTGAGGGGGATAATGTTTCCATTTACAAAGCCGAACTTATCGATGAGATGAATGTTCTTCCCAGCAGTGGAGAGTCTCCTGCGGCGACGGCAGCTGCTTTTTACAGTGAGTCTGCAGAACGGAGTCTAGCTGAAATGTCTTCAGGGAGTTCCTGTGAAGATGATGACTTCAAAAGGTTTCCTCAAGGCAAAGATGGACATGATAACTTGGCTTTTCTTATGAATTATCGCAAACGGAAAGCAGACTCTTCTAGCTTGTCAGTGTGCAGCAATGACAGCCTTGATGAATCTAAATCTTCCAGCTCAGAAGTACCATCGCCAGAAATATGTGACTTTTTACCTGGGGATGACGCCTCTGTCTCCTCATCTTCTAAAGATGACCGTAAAATTGTGCCCCCACTGACTGTTAGATTACACACCCAAAGTGTCTCCAAATGTGTGACTGACGATGGTAGGACTGTTTCAGTCGGAGATGTTGTCTGGGGCAAAATCCATGGCTTCCCTTGGTGGCCCGCCCGTGTTCTTGACATAAATCTTAGCCAAAAGGAAAATGGAGACCCTTCCTGGCAGGAAGCAAAGGTTTCATGGTTTGGTTCTCCAACAACGTCTTTCTTGTCACTATCAAAACTATCCCCTTTTTCTGAATATTTCAAACTACGATTTAACCGTAAGAAGAAAGGGATGTATCGGAAAGCTATTACGGAAGCTGCGAAGGCAGTGGAACACTTGACTCCAGAAATAAGAGACCTCTTAACACAATTTGAAACATAATTTTTGTCTTCAAAAACAAGTAAGTTATGGCGGTGCATAACCCCTTTGTAGTAAAGCAATTGGTCTGCTTTTGAAGGTTCAAGAGAATACTCCTATTTCGGGGGGGGGGAGGAGAACACACTAGAGATGTGCTATTTAATACTTTCTCAGACACATCAGCGTAACTACTGAAAATCATAAGGATTATTCCTAATTGCTAACAAACCATCCAGAAGCTTTTGTATTTGAAATACAGCCACATTGATGTAATGCTTCATTTTTTTAAAAAAAAATTGAACAGATATTTATTCAGTGTCTTGTTTAAATGACTTATCAGATCTATATTTTGTCTTTTTTTCTTCATCTTGTTTTTTTTTTTTATCAAAGTGAACAAAGCATCAATTTGAAAGAAATTTGAACATATATTCTGGCATGTTCTTATGGCAATTGCTTTGTACTGATTCTATGTCATGTGACAGGCAATATATTTTAGGGAATTCCTTCATTCCTTAGGCCTTGAGTTTGGATGACCATAGAAATAAAAGTTTCCTTTTAAAGAATAAAAAAATGCGGGCCTGATTTTTTTTGAAACAGATTCTATGTCTTCCAAATTCTGTTCAGGCTTTTCTTCTGTGCTACATAATTTTGGCATGCTTATAAACCTTTGCCATAGAAGAGTGTGCACATTAACTTGAGCCATTAAAAATAAGGGTAAAGGGTAATCTATGTCTGACAGAGAAAAGGATGAGAGAAGTCTCTTTCAATGATCTAGTTTTCATAGTTTATTCAACATTAAGAGAATTTAGTATTTTACAATTGTCTAGATTTCAATTCTGGAAATCAGTCTTTAGGTTATTCTTGAGACTGTGGTGCTTGGATTCTTGAATGTAATGAGGAGCTTGCGAAGACAATCACAATTTACATCTCTAGCCAATTAGAAGTCAGTAATTAAGACTCTGGGGAGAAGATTTGAAACTGGAAGAAAGAGAAATGCTTCTGGCATGGCTAGTGATGTATGGGTCTTTTTTTCTGAGAAGACCCTGGGACTTTCAAGACATCTGATACAATCTAATTAGCATGTTCACAGCCTACTTCCACATTATGTTAAAGAGGTAGCTGAATACAGATTCAAGGTGTTGGATTTCATCCATTTTTTTAAATTACTGTCATTCTCCTCCCCCTTCATTTTTTGTTTTCATTTTTAATAGTTGTCATTTTTTCCTGAACTAGAATTCTGAAGAACTCAAGCTCTGCACAGTGTTTTCTAGTCTTGAGTTAACCATATTTGTTCTAATGTGAATTAGCAACACAATTAATTTAGGTCTGCATTTTAATTACTAAGACCAAAGGTTGAATTCCTGGTTTAAACATTTAATATTGATTAGGAAACAAGCTAAACCTTGAGTATTGAACTCAAACAGAATCAAGGAAGGATTAGCAATATTAGCAATATTTTCTTCAGGAGAAGAAAATTATTTTTTGTGTGTGTTTGGTGTTCACATAGTAACTTCTTCAGCAGTCTCCTATTATGAGTATAACCACTTCCAGAAGGAAAAAAAGTTAGCTGTTTTGTTACACTGAAAGAGTTAATTCTGTAACAAATAAATTTTGCTTCCAGGGGTGATGGTCTAAGTTGAGACAAGGAATTTGAAGGAGCATCTCCGCTGCATGATTGTAATAATGCATATGAAGTAACTCTTAAGAATAATTCCTTGTACACCAAGGGTCTTTTCCTGTTAGCAAAGGCTGGCTCTTTGGTCACTTGGCTTAGAGTAGAGCATGGCTGGCTCAGAGTTCTGGGATTTGAAGTCCACAAATCATAAAAGGGCCATAGTTCCATCACCCCTGGAGGAACCTGCAGATGGCATTATAATGCTCAGCATGTAAGCATTAAGATGATTCCTCTTCAAACTCTTAAAGAAATCTAGAACTAGAAATCCGTGGGAATCAGGTCGTTTATTCAAAACTGATCATGTGATAAACTGAGAAGAAATACTTTGGTAGGAAGCAAGAGGTAATTGCAGCTCTCTGACCCACAGATTTGTAATTCGTAACAACCAGTAGCATTTTGAAATGTAATGATTCCTTCTGCTACCCAATTTCAAAATCTAAATTATAACTACCAGATACTAATAAGAATGCAGGGCTCTTTGGGAAGAAATGACTATTAGTGTTTTAGCCCAGGGGTCTCCAACCCCTGGGCCGTGGCCCAGTACTGGGCCACGGCCTGTTTGAAACTGGGACGTGGGAGAGATGGGCAAGCGCACACATATGAAGCTCCACTTGCGTGAGCAGTGGGCAAATGCACAAAGCTCCACTTGCACAAGCAGAGGGCACTTATGCTCATGCACGAAGATTCACTTGCATGAGTGAAAGGCACTTGCGCTCCGTGGAAGCTCCACTCAAGTGAATGGAGCTTTGCACATGAGCATCCTCTGCTTGCACAAGTGGAGGTTTGCATACGAGCACAAGCGCCCTCTGCTTGCGTAAATGGAGCTTCACGCATGAGCCCAAACACCTTCCACTCGCACATGAAGCTCCATTCATGTGAGTGGAGGTTGTGTGCACCTGCCACTCACACAAATGGAGCTGTTTGTGTGCATGTCTACCTGCCACTCACACGCCCGGCCCCTGCGTGGTGGAATGAACTAAGTTTACACAGGTTTTGAGAAAAACAGGCAGTAATCTGAACAGAACTGTTTTAAGAAATGCAAGTTCTTCATTTCATTTTAACCTTGCAATGTTTTTTTTCCTTAATGCTATGAAGCAAGATCAGTATGACTGCAAGGAAGAAAACAATTTCTGAGAATCTTGTCCTACTTTGCAATATTAAGTATCTCTTAAGGCTGCAGTCGTATTTTTGCCTAAGTTAAAGAGCTGAAATGGGCTGGTCATTAGTGTAGTTTCCTTACCAACAATATAGAAATGCCTTTCTTTGGGATATATATTTATTTATTTTCCAGTTTAGCTTATAGCCCTGAAATTTCCTGGAGTTTCCCACCCAAGTATTAACCAGGTACAGTTCGGTTAGTCTTTTTGAGATCAGCTAAATTGACTAAGCAATTTGTATCATCAGATAGTTTATGAAGTTAAAGGATATTCTACTTCAATATGGACAGAGCTGGGGAGTTCAGAATTTTATAGTTGGTTTTCTTCGCATTTGCAAAGCACCATTAAATATGTTTAGTTTTGCTGTTAAAGTATAAAATGAGGACAGGTGAAATTGCAATTGTTAAGAACTAGCATTAGGCAGCTATTGTTAAAGGACCAGAGGCATCGGGGTTATTTATGTGGAAGGGTATAAATAATAATGCTGAAGTTCATGTAAGGTTGAGAAGTGAGAGGTAAGGGATATTGAAAGATACCCTGTAATTTATCCCTTGACTTCATAAATTATCTGGGATAATGTAATTTATGAAATTTTAAAATATCTGTACAGGGGTCCCAACACGTTACCTGCATGGAAGCACAGCTATTGATTAATACACTGGAGAGCCAGCATGGTATAGTGGTTAAGGTGTTGACTAGGATTAGAGAGACTCTTGAAATCCAGAGTTGGCCTTAAAAGTTCTTTAGATGACTTTAGACTCATCATTCTCAGCCCAACCTACTGAAAGAATTGTTGTGGGTAATAATTGAAGGAATATATATTACTTTTTGGCTATGGGAGGAAAGGTAGGGCCTAAATGAAATAAATATACGTATGCAAACATTTTGAGTTTTACTTTTTATTTTTAACACTCAAGAAGTATCCTAATTTGAAGGCCTCTGCCCTTGAAGGGATCAAAATCAGAACTCTTCCAGAAAAGTCAAAATGATTTTGCACATTTCTAAAGATAATTCTGTTAGGGAGGATCCTAGCCACTTTAGAATCTCTGGGTTAAAGTTTAATACTTCCTTGGCTCCAAATTAGCAGAAGAATGGGGAGACTGAGACTGTGCAAAATACTGGTTAAGTGTATTTTGCAAAAGAAGTTAATCTGAGCAATGTCTCTCCTGCCTTCAAATATTAAAGCAGCCACATCCCTTGAAGCTTCACATGGCTGCTTTGATTAGCTGGTGGTCAAGGCAGAAGTGCTTGTACCTGCTTGCGCAGATTGCAGGAAATGGCATATGCATTAAACTTTTGGATCATTATATTGCAGGTAAAAAGTGTTTACCTGCAATATAAGACCCAGCAATATTCCTGGGGCTTATAGTAAATTTGTAAACAAAGAACATTGTACCAAACACACATGGATGTGAGGGCATCTGACTGCAACCTCTGTCACCCCATTGATTGCCAGGATTGATTCAGCTTCCTTCCTCACGGCTCCATGTGCATCTCTTCCAATGCTGCATACTTGGTGGAAGAGGGCGACCATCCCAGATAGAAGGAGTGTACCAATCTTCAGTCAAGGATATACAATAGCTGCACTCAACTGCTAGAATCTCCAAAAGACACATGGTAGAAGTCATAGGATCCACATTGCTGACTGGAAATTGAAGTCCACACATCTTAAAGTTGCCAGGGTTGAAATCAATTAAAGTTGCACCAAAACCAGCAACAGAAATTCGGATTTTGTGACTTTTGTAGTGCATCTTTTACTCAGTGTTCTTTGTTACATATGTACTATAAGCCCCAGATTTTTTTCTGTGTCTTAGATTGCATGTGAACATTTTTTAGACTTCTGGATCTATAATGTATATGTATAAAAGAGAAGAATTTCCTAAAATCCAAAGTTTCTCAATATAGATTCAAATGGTCTTAGCGAAGACTCCCCTGGCGCATGCACTTAAAATTGAGGAATAAAATATTATGAACACAAGCTGTCCAGGAAATTTGTTTTCAGCACAGTAGAACATGTAGCATTTGAAAACCAGCCTTGTTCCCCCCCCCCAATTTTTTTTTTGTTAATATAGTAATTTCAACCAAAGTTGAAGGAAAGTTCTTTCGATTGTTCTTATTGTGAGCGACAAACTCTTGCGATTTACTGATAGATCCACCCTCTTCCTGATCCTGCTTTAGGCTCTTGTTTAGTATCATAACTATTTGTTTTCAAGTTGAAATGAGCCATGAAAGCTACATGTTCTCTTTGAAAATGGTTTTCTTTTTAGCAGTGATGTTATGTATATCTTTGTGTTCCAAGATTCGTGTCATAGCAGACAGACCTGGTGTTAGTAATGAAATTGCTCATGGTCCAAAGTGTGAAGTTAGCTTTTTAATGTCACTGGGTTCTCATGTTTGGCCACTTCTATCTCAGCAAATTTACAAAACATATATTTGTTTTAGGCAGTGGCCTGACTGTTCAAGACTTTTTGATATTTGAAAATAGTGAAAGTTAAGGGCATGAGAAGAGGGTTGCTTTTCTTTGCAGTCAGAAACCTGATTAAGCTATGAAACTGAAGTCTTTCCTTTCTATTCTAGTTTTGAATGTGCTCACCACTAAAAGTTTGATAATTGAGTAACTGTAAGCTTTACGCAGAGCATAGCTGGTTTAGACACCGCCTGGATTGTGCGCATATTTTGGTGCAGTGGGTAAGTGGCTAGCCTCAGGCATGAAAAACCAGCTGGATGACTTGGGCCAGTCACTCTCTCTCAGCCCAACCCACCTCACAAGCTGGTTGTAGGAAAAATAGGAAGTAGGAGTATTAGATTTGTTTAATGCCTTTAGTTGACCAAAATATATATTTTAAAAAAGGACAAAATTATATTTATATAATATTTCCTAAAATTATTTCTTAGTATTTGTAATACATGATTTATCATTATTATCTTTATTAATTATAACTAGTGCTTATTGGCATACTGGGTACCTATCAAAAAAATTTGGACAGCTGTTAGAAATTCTACATTTTGACAACATTTCCATCAGTCATTTGCAAAAGGCCACACTACTTGGCTTGGCACATATACTACACCGATTCATTACAATATTCTGGGTTCTTGGAAAGAACTCAATGTGGATGGAGGCCAATACCAGCTAAAGAACTGGCAGCTGTGAATAATAATAATGAACATCTGCCCATCTACCTGTGGTAGGCAGATGTTCTTCAACAATATCAAATATTTGTCTCTCTCAGGTCCTTGGGAAGGACTCAATAGGTGGATAAAAATGCCAAATCCAATCTTAACATCTTGCTGACAATGCAACCAATGTAAATAGAAAGAGGATTGCAGATGAAATGGCAAAGATTTTTCATAGCCATAGATCTTCAAGGTTTTTCATTAACATCCTTTTGTTTGTTGTAAATGTGACATGCTTTGCATTTGTCAGTCATTCCTTAGATTCCGTTTCATAAAGCAAAGCAAACTTTTAAGATCTCTGGATGTCTGTTTTATGCCCAGTCATAACCTCCTTAACTTTCTGCTTTTTTGCAGAAAAAACAAAGTGATGGTAGAATCCTCTTTTCCACAGAGAATGGCCAAAACCAGAATATATTTGTGACACTTTTTGTTTTGCGTAGCTTTTGACCTTGTCCAGTCCCAATTTAAGCTTGCACATTCATACATTTTTAGTATAAAACATCTTAACTGAATATGTTTGGCCTGGAGACATTTGAGTGTATACAATTCACCTTTTTCCTTTTTCATTTTTTAAGAATGGGAACATTTTGAAATATAGCTATAGGCGAAGGTTAACTACGAAAACATATCTGTGGGATCCTTGGTGCTCTCTGAGCTTGGTGGTTTTCTTGCAGACGTTTCAGTACCCAACTAGGTAACATCATCAGTGCACTGACAATGTTACCTAGCTGGGTAATGAAACATCTGCAAGAAAACCAACCAGTTCAGAGAGCACCAAGGATCCCTAGTTCAACCCTACCTTATCAAAAACATGTCTCTTTCTGTAACCCTTAATGAAAAGGTGGACATTTGTGCTGTTGTAAAATTAAATTGTTACTAAAACAATAGGGAAGACTGACATTTTCTATTTCCCAACATTTAACTATATTTTAGCATTCCAAATATAATTCAAGCATTCCAAATACAAAGAGCTCTGTCTTTTCCCACATTAGGCAGGGTTCTCAAGATGAGAGGAAAGTGCTCCAGTTCAAAACGTGAAGGCACGAACAAAGGTGAAACCAAGACTGAAAAGTTTCCCCCCCCCCTCCACAAAAGGTTACAAAGTAAAAGTTGAACTCCCTACCCGTTAGTGCAGTGGTTCTCAACCTTTCTAATGCCGCGACCCCATAATACAGTTCCCCATGTTGTGGTGACCCCCAACCACTTATATATCACCGGGTGCCAGGGGCGTGGCCAAAGAAAAGGGGGGAAAAACGGCGGACAGCCTTGTTTGGCGACCCCCGTGAAATGGTTGTTCGACCCCAAATGGGGTCCCGACCCACCGGTTGAGAACCACTGCGTTAGTGTGTCATAAATCACAATCCCCAGTTAAGACCTTTGGCGGGCTCTCTGCTTGACCTTGGTTCCCACAAGAAAGTTATTGCTTTGACAAAACCAGGGGTTGGCAACCTCGGCTCTTTTATGACTCACGGACTTCAACTCCCAGAATTCCTGAGTCAGCATAGCTGACTCAGGAATTCTGGGAGTTGAAGTCCATGAGTCATAAAAGAGCCGAGGTTGCCTACCCCTAGACTAAACTATAAGAATGCATCTTCCCCCTCCCATTGCTGTGGCAACTGGAAAACGAAGAAACATGGCTGTATTCTGAGCGTTTGAAGGCTTGACAACTGGCTAGGAAGGTCTATTCTCTTTGGCAGCTAAAGCAGAAATGACCATAGATCATGGAGTTCTGTGGCCACGTGGGAGAGACCTGCAAGTTGCCAGTTTTCCTCCACCATCTTCCTCCATGTAAACCAGGAAATCTGGAAGTTAAGAGGCAGTCTTGTAATTTCCACCAAAGTGGCTTTGATCTGGCTTCAGCTTGGCATCCAGAGAGAACCTGCCTATGAGGACAAGACTATGTTGGTAGCTGCTGCACCTTTATTCCACTATCTCCTGCATGCTCATGAGTTTTTGTTTTTGTTTTTTTGCCAAAGATGCCTACGTTTGGAATGTTTCATATGATTAAAATGGCAGTTTTTTAAAAGAGATTTTTTTTAAAAGTGCGCAGACTGTTTCTCATTTCCTTTTCAAATTATTTTCTTTCCCCTCTTTCTCTCAGTTCTCTGATTCATGGGAGGCTTGTATTTTAACAAAGAAAAGGAGGAAATGTGAGTTATTATTTCAGCAGAAGTATCAAAAGCACACAAAAAAAGCCATCTTCGTAAAAACTGCTAACAAATAATGCTTGGATAAAGTTTTGTTATGAAAAAAATGAGAATTTCATTTTAACTGTGCTTGTTATTTCCTTATAAGATCATCTAAGTTTGTTTGTTCCTTGTTTCTTTGGGGCAGAAAAAATGAAAATGGTTTATTATTTTCTTAATGATTAACACTGAATAATACTTGAGGATCTAGTGTAAAATATTTATGTACTTTCCGGTTAAGAAAGTCTTATTGCTGTTCATGAAGAAAAGAAATTGAAATCCATATTAACTCAATAGTTTTGGAAGTTCAGAAACCCATTCTTTTATAAAGCTTCTGTTGGCTTAATTAAAGTAGTCCTTGACTTACAACTAGTACTGTTCAAAGTTACAACGGCACTGGAAAAAAATGACTTATGTCAGAGAATTACACAGCATGTGTCCAAATGAAGTCAGAGACGCTGAAAAGAACTTGTTGTTTTATATAAACATATTTTATATCTATGTATACAGCAAAGAAGATAGTCAGGCAAACAGGAACATCATGAGGTAAATCACAGGGCACACAGAAGAAAAAAAGACGGGATAACAGCTTCTTATTACATGATGCAAATCCAAGGAAACAATCAACTAAAAGTCTAAGTTTCATAGGGCTTATACCCAGATGAATCAATATGGATTAATCTTATTTGGGTGTAATATGAAAAATATAGTGGATTTCCCTAATAGAAATGCTTGCATTTGTGCAAGTGCCCAGTCTTATATTTTTTTTGCAAATCTGCTGCTCTACTCACATTTTCTGTTGCTTACAAAATAATGATTGTTTAAAATTGGAAGCTCTCCTGAACCAGTTGGATTAATGGACCGGAGGGCTAGAGCAGGAAAAGGAGATGGGATTGGTGAATCTTGTCCATGTTTAAAAAATGAAATTGCTACTTAGTGCAAAGAATTTGTTTGATATCATCCATAATCAGATGTGGATAATTCCTCTAAAGAACAGCATCTGGCACTTGATATTTAGCTGAAGCTTCAAGATGAGGCTTCATATGTAAGCATTAATTTCTATGCGCTATTTTAGGAAGGAAACTGAACTGTTGTTACCATAATAATAAACTTTAATTTTGCAGCATTTGTATCGGTAGTCATCAACTTACAAAAGTTTGTTTAGTGACCATTCAACATTATAACGGCACTGAAAAAAAGTGACTTATGATCATTTTCCACACGTGATCAAAATTTGGATGCTTGGCAACTGACTCATATTTATGGCCGTTGCAGTGTCCCGGGGTCATGTGATCATCTTTTGCAAAATCAGTGGAGAAGCCAGATTCACTTAACAAATGTATTACTAACTTAACAGCTGCAGTGATTCACTTAACAACTGGCAAGAAAGGACGTAAAATGGGGCAAAACTCATTTAACAGGTCTCACTTAGTAACAGAAATTTTATGCTCAATTGTGGTCATAAGTTGAGGATTGCCTGTACTTCAAATACATTTCCACTTTAATTTTTTTACTTAGATATAGGTGTAGCAAAGGATTCAGTAAAATCTATCAAGGAGAAGTCAATAGTATGAAAAAATTCTAATTGCTGCCTTGATCAAGATGGGTTGTTCTTTTTCCCTCATTCCCTAGCAGATGGTACTTCAACTCTAGTTATCTAGGATGAGCCAGGTTATTTAATGAAACTGTAGCTGTGCCTCTCCGGTTTTCTGTGACCAAATTAGACTGTGAGGTTTGGAGCTATATTTAGATAGGTGGTTGTGTGATCACTTTTTGTACTCCAGGACTATTTGATGCAATTCTCTGTAACCTCTCCCTCTTTCACTTTCTTCAAGGTAACAGAAGACAAGAGCACAGCTGTCCTAGAGTTTCACAAAGTCTGTAAGCATCCTGACACGCTTCCCTCGGAGAATCGTGAGGTTTCATTGCACAAGGTGGCAGGATAAGTTTCCAGACTGGCCTTGCTCATCATCTGTGAAAGAGAGCTGGCACCTGGATTGCTTAGCAAGTCTTCCAGAGGCTGGTCTGACCAAATGTCATACGGCTACTTAACACAAGAGAAGCAACTTGACCAGTAGTATCTCGAAGAATTTGGGGTAGAATGAAATACTACACCTTGGAATGTATTTATTACCTATAAAATGTTAGCTACTCTTTATAATTTCCCCCTCTACTCCTTCTTTCTCCTCCTCCTGCTCCTGCTCCTCCTCCTCCGTTAGATAAACGTTGCTGCTGCTTTTCCGTAACAAGATTTATCATGTACTCTTGTTTAATTTTAACAATGGAAAATTGTTGACTCCAATTATGCACATTCTTGAGAAGGGATATGCAATAGAAAGAATCAGTGTAGTCTTAAAGTAAAATGGACTCACTTGTGTCTATTAAAATCTGAAAACTGTTGAACTCAACCTCCTTGGATGACTTTTATTATGAAAAATATGCTTGAACTCTTATTTGCCTATTTTAGGATTATACAATCTGCCCGTTGCCTTCAGACATTCCATGAGTATCGAATTAGGCATCATATTTTTCAGGCACAGTCATAGCAAGGAGACAAATGTACTGTGCGGTTGCCTTTTAAAATAATAATAATCGTGCTAAGATTTCTTAGTGCAGACCTGGGCAGCATTTTAGGCTGGGAGAGCATTGAAAGGGTTGAACATATACTGTAAGTCCTCTAAAAATAACGCTTGCCGTGAAAGACTTTCCTATTTACAAAATGGCAACAATGCTTGGCATGGCTAGCCACAAAGCACCGTATTACAAGAAAGCTCTCTTTCCAAGAATTCATTATAGTCTAATCTTTGCAGTCATTGCTGAAAATAAATACAGTGTTTAAATGCAAGAGATCAGTTCCCAATTAAAAAAAAAATCTGATGGGACCAAGTACTTAGAAGGCATCAGAAAGGGAACTGGGGGCTCGCTGGTGCTCATGGACGCCACTTGCCTAACCAGAAGCTTGGGTATTTTGACTTCCTGAAGTGTACAAGTTCAAGACTTGGATGGTTCCCTTGGACAACAGATTTTGTTAACCTAGTGCAGGGGTAGGCAACCTTGGCTCTCTTATGACTCGTGGACTTCAACTCCCAGAATTCCCTGAGCCAGCACAGCTGGCTCAGGAATTCTGGGAGTTGAAGTCCACGAGTCATAAAAGAGCAAAGGTTGCCTACCCCTGACCTAGTGGAAGCCTTTTTGTTGTTATGGCTGAGTTCAGCCATATCCTCTTCTAAAGTGCCGGTTGCCATCATGCACCCTGTGCTTCCCTACAACTCCCAGAATTTCCAGCAATTGATGAGAGCACCAGACATCCAGCCATGGTATTATCTAATCTTTTGCTTTTACAGTGACATCTACCCCATTCTTACTTTTTCAAAGGTCTGCTTTTTCAGACTAAGAAAAAGAACGGTCAGCCAGCCTTCTGAGTTTCTCCTGTTTGGAAAAAGCCAGGATCACTTGTGGAATTCTTGAAAACATCCAGCAGGCAGCCATATCTGGATACAGATAATTATTTTGGTGATTGAAAGATCTAATCATCTCAGAATTGCTTGTGTTAGAATAGATAATCCATATTGGATGGGCATTTTAGACATCCACAGTTCTACACAATTGAGTAATAATTCTCATTGAATTGTAGGGAATTACAAACAGGAATATAGAAACATCTGTATATTAATTAACACAAGTGGGAATATATTGGTAAAATGCTTGCTATGCAGTGCTATTTTAAACAAATGACTGCTGATTTTTAGTTTTTATTGCATGCTATAATTTTATAACATCTTACTTTGGGGAAACTTAGTCAATAAGAAGGTTGAAAATTGCTATATAAAACCCCCATTTATAAGAAAACCCACATTTTACTTATTATTTATTTTCTAGATTAAGGTAGGGATATATGGTTCCAAATTACAAAATAGTTGATTTTTTTAAAAAAAAAATTAAGTCAAGGTAGGATGTAAAATATTTAGAATTCAGGCCAGTTTGAATTTAAAGGAATTAAAAATTTGAAACATACTGCCTCAAGTATTTAAAGAAACTGTTTTGACTTGAAACAAACATGTTTTGATCATTTGGAAATCTTATCAAATTAAGAGCATGAATGCATATTTTGAAATGTTTTCTACATCCTTACCAAAGCTTGTTTTATTTGGGCAGGAAGTGTAAGAGAACTGAAATAATAAACATGAAGTAGAATGAAAACTAAGAATCGGCACTGAGAACAGGAGCAGGCAAACGATAGCCCTCCAATTGACACTTTCATCATGTGTTACCATTTTCATGCTGTCCAGAACACTTGATCATAGTTTAGCAATTTCTAAAGGGTTATTGTATGAAAAACTGTGTAATTATTCCCAGAAGGTTTTGTGCCATCCCATTCTGAGAATAATTTCATCCAAACAACTGAGTTATCTTGAACTCATTCCTGTTCTAGGAGACTTGAGTCCAAAAATGGATAAACGGCTCAACTCAACCCCTTCCATGAAAAAATGGAACGGTCCACATTGCTTTGCACTTTACTACTAAAAAGTTATGATAATACATAGCATTTAAAAAACATAGAAACACCTGCTGTGTTCCTTTCTTGACCGAGTTATGATAAACTGCCCCTTGTGAACCATGTCTGCATTTAACATGAAAAACAGTCAATCAGCAAGTCTGCATGTCTCAAAGGAGGGTTAAATGTAAAAATAACATCAATTAATCTTCTGCAGTTTTGCAGACATTATTTATAGGAGGAAAATGAATTTGTGCTAAATTGTACAGAAACATTGCCTTTGGTCAAATTAAGGTTGGCTGATTAGTGATGCATATTATTTGGAGCTATTATTAAATAGTGTAGTCAAGTTATTGTTGGTTTCAATGAGATTGTTCATATTGTTAATTTGTGCCATCTGATTCAGATCCAAAAAATGCTGCTCATTACAATCTTTTAAAGTTTTGAAGAATTGAAACTTAGGACTTGTCTCTGGGGACATTATCTGCTTCTATAGAAGTTTCCCTGCCTTTCAGTTCTATCTGTAGAGAACATGGCATTCTATCCCACCAGTGCAAATGGTAATGATTTTCAGCTGGACCTTCTCAGAAGTAATGCTAAGGCAGTGTGAGACCTTCTATCTAACCCTGAAAATAACATTCTTCTATCAGTCCTTTAATTACAGTTGTCTTTTGCTAGTATGCTTTTATCAGTTTTTGTTTGGATTGGTTTGGCTGAGAGCCAAACTGGATTAGGAGAAGGGAAGTCCAGGTACTATTCTTGCCTTAGGCATGGCAGCCAGCTGCATGATTTGGGGCCAGTAAGTCTCTCTCAGCACTGGGAAGAAAACCATGGCAAGTGACTTCTGAAAATATTTCCGAGACAACTGCAGGGACATGTTCCTGTAGTTGCCAGGAGTCAAGGCTGATTTGAAGCCACCAAGAAGTAGGGGAAAAAAATGATTTAGCTGCTCCTGATTTCTGATCTACAGATTGCTTTTTGTATTTTAAAAAAGTGTGGAAATTGCTCTGAGAGCCTTCAAGCAGAAGGCAATATATAAAAATAAAATGTTTAGAACAAAGCACAAAGTGGAGACAAGCGATAACTTGCTCAGATAATGGATGATTAAAAAAGAGAATGCTGCATTGCAGGGTGCTCATGTCACTGTTGTCTCTTATAATCAGGTTTGGCAGACATTTTGCAGTGTTTCCCAAACCTGTTAGACTAGCAGTGAAAGTGTGATAAAATCAATGTATAATACACCTTGGGAAGCAATCGCAGTCACTTTCTGATGTATGCAAAACTGGACTGTATCATGTCTTGGTTGCTGGAAGTTTATTTGACCCCATCAGAATTCTTACTTTAGCAGGATCATCATAGCTGGAATTGCACAAAAATTGCTGGAATGACCAAAAGCATCCCTCTGGTTACAGTCCAAGTTGGCAATCATCAAAACCGGCCTTCAGCCTTCTTCTGCTTTCAGAAGCTACAATGAGACCAATGATTCTGCTTTGGAGATTGAGTCCAGTACAATAAAACTCACTGACTCTACTCAAAATTGCAAGTTCTGGGATTATTTGAAACACCAGCCTGCTATTCGCAAAGCTTATACTGTTGCATTTTCAAAGAATGCTCAAAGGATCATATGGTTTTGCTGGAAAGAGCATATCAGCTAGCAATATGGAACTAAGCATGTTAATTAGCCTGCAACAATGGGCAGGCTGCTTTAAAAGTATTCAACTCATGGAAGATACAGATCTGAGCACAGAGTGTCTGAATGAGGCGTGAGAAACATTTTTAATAAAAGGGGATTGGCAAGGCTTCAGTCATATAGAATGGGAGAAGGGTGATTATCAAGAGTAACATTGCTTAAAAGTTCTGGAACAAACTTAGCATCATCTAACTGAAAATAATATTATAATCTTATATGTGATGTACTTTTAATTGTGTTACCTTTTCTGGCTCAGAGTGGTTCCTCCCAAATTGCATACATTTTGTGAGGCATGCTAGTCCTTTGGAGAAATCTTAGTCATTACTTTTCATAATTTGCAAAATATCTGGGATTTTTTTTTATTTTATTTTGGGTGGCTAAATTTGCATTCTGGCTAATATTTTGGTGGAACTATCTGAACTATCTTTACATGCAATTATTGATAACGAAAAGCAAAAATGTAGTGGGTCATACATGAAGCTTCGATGAATGGGATGTGTACTGATTTTTTTTAAAAAATGTAGGTGTTCTGAGCAAGCTTACTGTTTTTTGCAAGAAGTACTTAAGCACAAAAGGTCTGATTTAAAGCTGCAAAATAAAAAGAAACTCAGTTGGATCTCTTGTATGTGGAAATATATTTCACTGCTCCATTTTGCTAATGTAAACCATTTCCTCTCCTCTTTTGATTGAATAATTTGATAATACATTCTGTGGCATCAAATAAAATTGAGTTTGAATATGAAGAGGCAGTTTACAAGTTAGGTTAAAGTGGAGAAGCTGAGAGCTACAGAAGCAGGCTGAAGAAATATTTGCTCAGCTGAGGAAATGGTCCCAGGTTCTGACCAAGTGAAGTTAAGTTTTAAAAAATTAGTGGCAATACACCAGTTCAGGAAGTTCTCATATAATTTGGAACTGAGTTTGCGAGAGAAGCTTTAAAGAAATTACTTTTTTCAGCATTCATTAATCCTGAAAAAAAGTATTTGCTATTTAATATGTCATTTCAAATGACCTTTAATAGGTGAAAACTACGGTAAATTGGATCTCTGCCACCTTACAATGTGTGTATCCATATATGTGAAACTGTGTGTGTGTGTCTCATGGGAGTCACCCTGAAGCACAGAAAGACAGGTGAATTGTAAGCAGTTCTTGTAATCTCTGTAGCTGGAAAAAAAAATCACTGAAATAATGATAGGAAAGTTGCTGACATTATCCATAGTTTATCT